TTTTTTTTTTTTTTTTTTTTTTTTTTTTTTTCTTCAACGTTTTTATTTATTTTTGGGACAGAGGGAGACTGAGCATGAACGGGGGAGGGGCAGAGAGAGAGGGAGACACAGAATCGGAAACAGGCTCCAGGCTCCGAGCCATCAGCCCAGAGCCTGACGCGGGGCTCGAACTCACGGACCGCGAGATCGTGACCTGGCTGAAGTTGGACGCTTAACCGACTGCGCCACCCAGGCGCCCCTTGTTTTCTGTTTCCAAATTTCAACAAATAAGCTGACTCAGAAAACAGAGCGAGTGTTCGCATCCTAGAATCCTGATGGCTTTCCTGTTCTGCGTGTCATCTCCTCCCCTTCTCTTCCCCTTCCCCGTCTGTCCCTCTTCCTCCCACTCCACCCGCCATCTCCTTTCCTCTCCCACTGCCTGCTTCCTCTCTGCCACCTCACCACAAGTGACGACAGTGCCTCCAGCCCCAGGCCGGCCTGCAGAAGGCATCAGCGCTCTGGCCTCTTACTGCTAGAACTGCTCACTCATAGGGGGGCTCCCATCGCAACTTTCCACAGGCACCACCAAATAAAATGCTAAGGCAAACACATCGATAAAGTCTAAGGCAAGGGGGGGAGGGGGCTCTAACTGGGATGTGCAAGAGAAAAAAAATGCCCAATTATTTATTCTTTACAATACTGTGATTTCTAATTTTAGAAAAGAAATCCTTAAAAAAACAAAACCTATAATGTGATATGGCTGTGTGACTCTAAATTTACTAAAAATCATTGAATTGTACACTTAGAACAAATGATGTGTAAGTTACATATCAATTAAATACCGTAATTTAAGGAACACCAGCATGGATGGGGGGAGGGGAAGGCCACGAAAATGAAATTCGATACATTAATCACCTGCCTACTTAACTTTCATCATAATTTTTTTTTTTTGCATTTGTCCAGCAAAGTACTGAGGATAACTTTTTTTAACAAGAAAGAGACTGAAACAATAGAAGTCCTAAGTCCAACAAGGCCTGCTGAGAAACAGACCTTAACAAACCACGGAGATGTGTACGATAGATATTTAACGTATGTTTTTGGGAAGAGACTACAATGACAATGCCCGCCAGGCCAATACTTTAGGGTATGGCGATAGATGTAGTCCTTCTAATAACAAGAAAAAAACCCTCTACATTACAACTGAGAATTTTGTTTTAATACTCACCCATCCTCCCTTACTAATAAGGGTAGTGGGGAGTTAAAGGCAGAGGTGTCAAATGAAGTAGGATTCTTCCATGAACCACTGACATTCCTGACATGTGGAGATGCAAAAGTGAGCAACTGAGATAATGGCCCCACTACTGCTCGGAGAACTCCCGGACATGGAGCATCTTATACAACACAGGAGAGCAAGGTAGAAGGAATGCCTAGCACACTTCCTGGAGCATTGGGAAAGGCTTTGCTTTCTTATTCACTCATTCAATTCTTTATTAAGAACCTACTGTGCACCAGGCAACTGTGGCAGGCACTAAGACAAGAGTCATGAACAAGACACTTGGTGAATGAGTAACATGGAGCTTGGTAATTACAACCGGAGAGTAATTTCCATGATGAAAATTACAGGATGCTATGCAATCACTTAGTGGGGAAATATCTCGTGGGATCTTAGGGCTGAGGGAAGATTCCCTATGGAACCGAGACGTGAAGGATGTGCAGGAGTTCTGTGGGGGAAGCAAGGAGAAAAGAACCCCAGGCAGAGAGAAGAGCATGGGCGAAGTCCCTGAAGGAGAAAGGAGTTTCTCTGTCAAGGAAGAGAATGAATGTGTGGCTGCAAGAGAAGAGTAGGGTAGGGGAAAAGTTGGGAGAGACAAACGTTAAGGTAGGATTTTGAAAGCCTTCTTGGGCCTGGCAAGACACACGTGCAAAACTTTCAGGTGGAAGAGGCATCCACAGAAAGAGCTGAGGCCAGCACCCAGAGTCACGTGAGGACAGCACGGGCATACCCTACCGAACCCCCAGGGAAATCTGTAAGGTGGGAGGAGCCCAAAACGCTGCCAGGCTTTGCCTGACATGCAAAAAACTTGGACTTTATTCTGGTTAAAAATCTTAAAGCAGCTGAGTGCTATCAGTTCTGCTCTTTAGGAAGATGGACCCGGGATAGTAAAGAACAGTAATGAAGCTGGATGACAGGGAGGTGAACCAGACAGGAGGGAGAATAGGTAGAAGGCTAAAGCAATTCTCCAGGGTGAAAGAGAAACCCGAACTTGGACCAAATGCCCCTCCCGCTCATGAGACTCATTAGCCACATGTACAGAGAAAGCCACTCAATCAGAACTAGAAAAGGCCTTC